CTAAGGACGCTGATTGATGCGGCGTGTATCGATGGGGTCGCGTTACACGACGATGCGGGCGAGGCGATGGCAAGCTACCTTAATTGTCGCGGATGCGATGATAAGTAGGGGCACGATGCCAAATATATCGTAACTTTGTTGCGCTTCTGCCTGTAAGGATAGTTACAGTCGTTTGAGAGTTCCCAGCTTCTTCTACCGGATGAGACCAAAATGGAACTCGAAAAGCTCGGGAGTGGTGTGATTTCACAAGCAGAACTTGACAAAAAAATGTGCCGAAACTGAGAACGGAAGTAACAGTATGATCCACAATTTAGAGACGAGATGGAAAGCATTGAGTAGCGCTCGTCGAACTGGTTCGAAAAAGCGCATGCCCAAGAATATGTGTGGAGAACTGGAATGACCGGGGCGAGTGAAGCGAGCGCCGAGATAAAATGCGGCCGTACGGCAGTCAGACACATCTATGTATGATCGTTCGAAACAAGTCACCGGGTTTTTGTGGTTGTGCGGCAGCGAAGCGTGGGTACTGTGTACTGGCGTAGTGTTGATGCCTCTATCACTGATGAGACAATACGAACTGCGCGCAAACACCAGTATTCATCTCACTGTGTTGCTCAAACTTTTGAAGGGCACTAACCGTTTTAGCTTACATATTTGTCGGGATAACTTTTCTTAGCAGACAGTCCCAAAGGGCACATCGATCCACTAAATCGAAGGCACCGAGGATTGCGAGGAACACTACGGTGGGTCGTAAGTAAACTTGGCGGTGTTCCAACAATTGGTGTAAAATGAATAAGCGATCAAAGCAGCGATAATTTCGATGAAATCCGACCTGCTCTTTACGAATCTAGCTTTCCCGGATGGCAATCAACCTAGGAGGGATGGAGGTAATAAACTTAAAGGCGAGAAGGAACAGACCAATGACTTTATGACTGCCACATGCCAAACAAGCCATGATCCTAAAGAGTGGGACAATAACGATGCAACTACAGTCGGATGGAACAGATTCCGCTTTCTACACTTTTACTAATTAATGTTGCGAGTCCAATGAATCATCCATTTACACATTATCCTGGAGTGGGAGCTTGGCTTAAACATTCGCCGTCTAGTTTTAATTTGAACCATCAGGGGGGAGTGAAAAGTAACCCAAAAACGCCTATAAAGAATAGTGACTTTTGTATTAAAAAAGTACGGCCCATTTCTGGCAAAATGTAAACGAAAATTTCAGTGCGACCACCCACAGAGACTTCTTGAAGTACATAATTGTTAAGCAGTAAAACATCATTATTCATTGTAAGCCCTAGGTAAAACATAATTCAGGTGTCAAATGAACAGACAAGGACTGGCAAAATTGCGCTGTTATTTGCATTTCTGTATGTTTCAAGTTTGGTTAACCGTTACACCTCTCAGCGTAATGGAGCATATCAGCCAGTAAAAATATGGTAACACGTGCGTACAATGCACATTTGAAAATTCCGACGAAATAATAATCTGTTATGTGGGTTTTCTGCTCAATTTTGCGATGTACACTACCGGGTTGATTCGACCGAATTCTCATCTCCGATGCGTGTTGTGACAGGCGGGAAATCCCGAGAGGCAGTGCACATTGATTAGGATTCTTGATGTTTATAAACTATTCGTGTAATCATTTCTAATTACCGGAATCGGCGGGTCCCAAGAGAGACCCAGTGGGATTTACATGATATATGTGCTAGACGAGTTTCAAAAGTATGAATTGTATTCATTGCTATGATCCCATTTGTTGCTTTCTCTAAATAGTAGGCCATAAAATCTAATTTTTTAGTGAAGGCCGAATTGCACCGAATTCTGTGGGGATTTTTGGCTGTGCATCCTAAGCCATTAATGATGTTTCGTGCTGTTTATAAATGATACTTAACCCTATAAGTGTTTCTTAATCTGAAATGTCAGTTTAAATAACTACCGACGAGGCGGAATCTTTGTATTGTAAGAGGTAAATGCATCGAGATCAGGTTCCAGTGTGAAGAGGCGTTACGAACCACTTGCCGGTTCTTGGTAACAGACTTTCGGGATTCCCTGTATCTTGCGTCATAAGCGACAATACAACGATGGTTCTATTTCAAGTTAGCGTGTTCAAGAAAATAGGCCCAATGCATTGATTGCTTGACTGGCTAAGTAACTTACAGAATATGGGTGCCATTCAGTAATCGTTCCAAGTTCATAACCAAAATATGTCATTCAAGCGTAAACAACTTCGAGAAACGGGGCAAACGCGGTTTTGCTTCGAAGCGCTCACCGTGGTGGACAATCTGCTAATGTGTTGCTCATTGATTGCCTCTCTCTCATGGGAGCGGTCAAGTTCATGTTGCATCTCCTCCAGTTTTTCAAATAAGCTCTTACTGCTCTCGCCGTATCGTCTTGTTTCGCCGTTCAGGTCCGGTCTGTTTATTTGATCGTCGTCCCCTCTGGACGTCTGTAAACTTATCGGTCGAGTGGGAGATTGTCCTTCAGAGGTTTTTTGTCCACCTGAGATGCTCGACTCTTCCTGATCCGTCTCTACATCAGAAGATAGAAAAACCCTGCTCTTGGTTTGCCTTTCATGATCATATTCCAGATGAAACGCCATTTGTTCCTCATCTGCGGACTCATCGTCTGTGTGATTTCGCTTGGAATCCTGAGTACGTGTGCCAGTTATGATGTCTTGATTGGCGATTAGAACGTCATCTTCCATACCATCGAGGCGCTTTTGAAGGTTTTGTGCCCTGTTTTCAAGCTGCAAACAAAAGGAGAAAAACATATAAATAATTAGAAGCGTCTCATCCAGATTTGAAAAGAACTTGCCACTACTTACTCGTTTCCGAACTAACGTTTACTATTTTTATGGTGAAAAAAACAAGAGGAGGCGTCCGAGGAAAAGTCTTTCCAGAGAATTGAATTTAGATTCAGCTTTACAGATTCTGCAGCTGCCACTTGCATTATCCTAAAATAGGAGAAGACCACTACATATTTCCCTGTAATTCACTACATTTATTGTCTTTCATTATGGCAATCCGATATATTTTCAACTCATTCTAAAGATAGAAAACTACGGTCAGAATTTAACAAGAGTGGAAAACAGTGCAAAACTAGACACACTGCTCATATTCATATTCCTCTAAAAATATATCTATTGTTTCCTGCCGACATGATGTTACTATGGTTTCCGTAGAAGAATCTCGAATGCCTTATCCTGTGGTATCTTCGTCCCGCTTAATTATCCCTTGGCTGTGATTCCAACTACCACTTACGCAAACATTTTTCGTGTCCCAAATCCATCTTTGTTTTTCTCTGGATCTCGATGAAGATAAGTTGTTTTGATGTTAAACTAAGTACGTATATTTAACCACACACTGACCTACTTTGCTGACTTCAAAACAAACTTCACTATCGCTTCACATAGTAATGCCCGATGTGTTATCGGTTCAACAGAATGTTTCAATATCTCAAACTGCCTCGCACTGCATAAGTGACCTGACAATAGTGCACTGTTAATGTGGAACGAGGTCACACATGGAAACCATTTGATTCGTGCGGTCCGTTGTATTGTTACACTTGTGTAGAACTGTAACACAGATTCAAACACTCACTACACATCGCAGCGTTCATTTTTGATTGGTCTTCTGCAAGCCTATTTTTAGCCACGCTGTGTTGAGACGACTTCAATTCCACGTGTGTCTGGCAACCATACTTGTTGGTTATTTTTGATTGTTGCTGATGTTGATATGCCTGCATCGAAATCACAAATTATTGAGGCATTGCACCGTTGTTGCTTTTAAATGTTTGCAAATAGTACTGTATTCCAGTGCAGGCCACGTTGTTGTTGATTCCGGTGGAAGCGAGTTGGCTCAAAGGTTCCAAGCAATTTGTCGCTTCCAGAGGTGGATAGTTTGTACGAAATATTGTCATGTTTGACAAAACGACATTTCCACCACCTAGACTACAAGCGGTTTCAAGCCAAAGTTTAGACCTGATAGGTGTAGTAAACCTTTATCTGCTGCTAGCCTGTGAACGCTTAAATATAAAGGTCAGTGTCAACGTAACTCATGGGTTGAAATTTTAATGCCCGTTTTCATCATGAAAATTTCCTGAGGCAAACAGAACATCCAAACAAGTAGAGCGGCCAATACACTATTCTTGATGTTTCCCACCCATGCTCTGTAAAAACAAAACTGTTACCATGAAATAAGCAGGTAATGTCAATTCGTTGATAAATAACAAATCTCAGAAAATGATACTACCGAACTCTTGCATTATAATTGAGCATATGCATTTATAACTTTAACATTAAATAATTGATTAAGAAACTGGGAAACTGTGATATCAAGATGATCAGAGGCGCGATCTGTCCAAGCGGATTCTGCATGGATAACAATTAGATCACGATAAGGCCATAGCTTTAACAAAATGATGCTTATGCTTACACCAGCGGATTTCTGAGATGGATCGTGTTCACCTGATAACTTACATTTGGGTCACCTTCTACCGTTCAATTGGTTGAAGGTTATAAAATCGGAAGATGTAGCACAGTGCTTGCAAACCCATCTATTTCTCTGGAAAGCGCATCGGTTTACCTCAGTGACACGGGGGCACTTACTCGTTTAAATAATCGTCACAAGTGAGTAACGAAGCAAACGAATTCGAGTAATTTGAACTTGCTCGATAAAGGATCCTCACTCTAGTGTGTGACATGGTTTCCTGTTATACATTAACACATAAATTTCCACACTTGAAAGTGCAAAAATGCCACCGGAGATGAAAATCTAACATCCTATTGTGTAGTAGGCTTTGGTAAGGAAGATTTGGTGAAGCCTAGTTAAAAACTTGTATTGAAGTCCGCATGATAAGTAATCGCAAGCATTCGAAAGATTACGCATAGCTAATTGACTGCAGTGAGTAGTCTTCCAGATATCACATTACATCGAAACAGTGGGGAAAATAAATAGGAAGTGAAGCTAAGGGATTTCACGTTTTGTCACATTTATAGAATAGGAATTTCTAAATTCAAATTCGGAGTATGCACGCAGAGATCCGCTACGTTATGCAAATAGAAGGAAGATGAGATTCATCCATCTCGAAGTTAGTGGTGGAGAAGGACTAGCACACCGTTTGTTTAAGATGTAAGGCCTGCTGATTTACCCAGAATATACTACAGTAGAACCTACGAAGATGACCACCTCTATATCCTAACCACCACTATACATTGACCAATATTTTATAACTTGAACGTTCAGCATGTGAACCCCATGGAACCCGACCTATTGGCTATGCAGCACTTCTGTAAGTTGTATATCGACCAGTTGGGTCATAATTGTCCTTACCGATCTAACATTGATGGCTTGACTACGAGAAAATTTACTGTGCAATACTCACCGAAGGAGTTGTCAGTTCAAATAATGTGAATTTTCAGTGGGGGTTTAAAATATGCGAAACTCCTGAACCACATTCACTATACGGCTCCTCAGACGATCGATGGTACAGCATGTCTGTGTATGTGCATGTGACTGAATGTTGTCTTACCCTGCAGTGCTTACGCGCAATCGTCTTTACCTTGCACAGTGTGTCCCCACATTTGCGCGTCAAAAGGATTGACTTTGACCGATTGACGGACTCAGAAAGGACGGTAATGAACCACAGTTAAATCACACCCGAATCCCCTCTATTAACGAGTAAGCAGCAAATCGTCCGTACAGCTGTGTCGCACACAGTCGCCATGCAGAAAGTCGTAGCGTTGGGGCCAACTACTCTCCACTGCACAGTTCGCAACTTGTATGACAGTAGAGAAGGATCCGCTCTATATCGTAGTTAACTGTCAATCATGCCCCAATCACCTATGGTTGGTAGCACAAGCTGTTAGCATCCGGAAATCATGTGGTAGGCACCAGGAAGGGGCCAGAGGAATGCGCACAACTGAGAAGACACAGAAGGTTGAAACGACCGTCTGGTGCATTTCCAGACGCGTTGGAGCCCGCCTGACTAATAGTGGACGAGAATGAACTACATCTATATTACCCCTAAATTCCCAATACTAAAGTGTTGCGGAGATTTTACAGAAGTTAGCAGTGATGGTGCAGTGCGTCTTTAGGTCAAGTTTGGAATATCTATGACCTAGGTGAAAAACGACAGGATGTGGAATCGCAACCCATAGCTTACACACTTGCAGAATGAAAATATTCCGGTTACATTTTAGTAAACGCTGGTGCGTCGCTAACAGTTGGCGGCTGCTCAGTGGCTGCTGCACTGGCCGAGTTTCCAATTCTGGGCGCCCAGCTATTTGGGGTTCTCGAAGATTTGGCGCCATACTGTGGGTTCACTATGTGTTCAGCCATACAGTCGCCTCACGCTCCTGCAATTCTCAGTAAGATTCAATATGAGAAGAAAAACAGGCCACCTTTTGCTGCGGATCGTTGAGCGCAGCTAGGTTCTCTACCTGAATGAGCCGCCAAGTCCGACTGAAACATTCTGCATAGTTCCCCGCGTAACCTATAGGCATTTGAAGAAATCCATAGGAATTAGGTCACCCACATTTCCACGAAAACAATCCGACATTATCCTAAATGCAATTACACTAAATCGGAGCTATCTTTGTCCACTCACTCGCTTTAGCTGGTTTGTCTTAACGGCGACCTCGGTTTGTAGCTTATCGATAACCTCCTGAGCAGCGGCAAATTCCCGTTGGGTTTTCATGTATCTCTGCTCCAGAGTAGTGGCCTTGGTTTCATGCTCCAATCGACGTGTTTCCGTCTCCCTGATCTCTTTCTGCAACCGCTCAACCTACAACCGAAGTAAAATGTATCTGTTCACACGATGACTTCAAATTCAGGTTATTACCATCATAGAGCTAATACGACCAATGCAACCATGTATGCAACATTGTGGGTTAAAAAGGGAGTATGGCTGGGAACCGAATCCCAATAGCTGTGTTGTCAAGCTTGCTGAAATAAATTTGCTTACTTATTCAACAACTACAATCGTGCCATTTTTATATAATATTTATGTGTTAGGTAGTGAAGATAGACCACCTCTAAAACTCAAAACTAATCTACTTGCAACGTTTTTACATGATGGTTAGGAAGCAGTGATATTGTACAATGTACACAAACACTCCAAATTTGATAAGCCCTAACACAGTAGAACAGCAAATCCTGTCTGTGACATTACAAGCGTGTCAAAGGTTGGCTTGGTTGCTCCCTTATGTTAAATGTATTAATTCACTTTCTAATGGAATAGACAACGTGCATCCCTGATATATTCGTTACAGTTATAAGAGTAGGTCATCCTAGGGGAATAAGATGGGATATGGTACTTATCACGTATTAATTGTAAGCAGACGGCGTATATTTCCAGGACATTAATCCAACAAGTAGAACAAGTTTAGACGTGAAGTTTTCCAATCCATTTATTCGCGTTAGATGACTCACGAAACCTACATTGTAGGTCCTGGGGTATATAAGAAGTGATCGGCAAGCTGTTTTGAGACAGAACAAACAACTCATCCTCCCACAGTTTACCTAAACGGATTGTAGTCATCTACGATCGTTACATTAAGGTCGTAAAATTTATGCTTTGACATAAGACAGGCACTGACTTGGGTCGGTGTGTGCAATATTGCTTGTCACCCGCGGTTATCCTCGTCACTCAGATCGCATCTGAAGTGGGGTTCCTTAAATACGATTCCTTCGTAATAACGTGGTCTACAACCGGTTTAACTTTGTTTTGGGAAATTAAGAAGAGTTGTCCGGTGGTCGAGATAAAAATATTGACCCGAGTGAGTGGCAGATTTGGCAGTCATTACAGAAATTGAAATCTACCAGCGATACTGGTCACATCATTGTAAGGTTCAGTATTTTGCTTTGACCGACTCACTGTGTTATTCGGACCTTTACTCGCCTCTGTGTTTACACCATGGTAGAAATGAATTCTGTACAACACTCTCGAAATATGGTCAAAATCGCTATAAAAATTGTCAGCCGTGAATATCTTTGTCGTTCTCATGTAACATTTAAAATATCTGGCTCACGTTTTTGCAGGACTCACGAATGTGATATGTCATCGTAAGTGTGCAAGCGTTCTCTGAATCGAATAGTGGTAAAATAAAATCTAACAACGTTTTGAACGGCTGCAAAGATGTTGCCTCCATCACATGTTCAGGCAAACCGTTCCGAATATTCACACTCTCCGTTCGAAACACAGTGGATGGGGAACACGGTTCACATCAGGCACGACAAGTTTGTATGTGTCCGCGTGTGCTGCATGACCCACGTACCGGCAACATTGGTCTTAGCAATGGGAAGTCACCGAGATGTAGAATACGGTAGGTCATAATGAGGTCGACTCACACCCAACGGTAGGACAACGTGTAGAGTCCTAGTTTCTCGCACCAGTCTTCATACCCCAAGCCACGTAAACTCGGGATGAGCCTGGTAGCAACGTGTTGGACCCATTCGATCTTTTGTGCTTCGCCTCGGGTAATCGGAAAGTAGGTGAGCGAACCGTACTCTAGCATTGGTCAAATGGTGGAAGAGAAGAGGCGAGTGGCAACCTCTTCAGACCATGAGCCGAAGCCCCGTTTGAGCGCCCAATTCATGCGCAGTCCGTTACGATTTAACCTGTTGGTGTTGTCCATGGACTACAAATCGTAGCGCGAGAATACACCTAGCTTCTTCACGGAGGGTCTGGGATATAACGTTTGGCCGTCAAAGGTGTAGATTCGACCGTCAGCACCCTTCCCCAGGCTCATAAATACAGACTTGGCTGGGTTGACCGGGAGATGAACTGCTGCAGACCATGTGGATAGGCGGTTGAGGTCTTGCTGAAGTACGCCATAGTCGTCGGGAGCGTCAATTTCTCTCCAAATCTTTATGTCGTCTGCAAACAAAGAACAAGGCAACCGGAGAAGCTGACGTAGATCGTTGACGTGCATCAGGAACAGAGTGGGCCCCAGCACAGCGCTTTGAGACACGCTACTGGTAGAGGTATACCAGTCGGTTAGATGGTCCTCGACCTGTACCCTCCACTTTCGTCCAACAAGAACGTAGCGGATCCACAGGTGCAGTGAGCCACCGACACCACACATCCTGAGTTTGGGAAGGAGAACATCATGGCTGACATTGTTGAATGCTTTGATGAAATCGAGGAATCTCATGACGACAGACTTCCCCTTGCTTATTGCCTTCAACCACTGATGCCTCGTCACAAGCAGGTTCCTAATGCATGAGTGACCTGAGCCGTATGCTGAGAAAGCAAAGTTTGGCTAATGTCTGCGATCAAAGCCGGACTCCACGGGTGGTTTACGTATGGTAGGATTATTCACATAGGGTAAACAGATGTATAAGGAAGTCGAGCTAATTGGCTAGCAGAAGCGAACTTACCTAAATAAGTTGTTAAGCACATTAATCGCAGTCGTCTGTCTACGGCGCTGTGCTGATTGTCTTATTTCTGGCCGGATTAAGGTAAGCTCCCGTCGATTCTTTAGATGAATTATTAGTCGACGTTTATAGGCCCCGGATCGTCGCTGTTAACGGAAGTAGCTTGGCAGCATAATTTTAAGTGATCTGGAGATCAAACATGCTATTATTTCTCAGACGCCTTCGCTGAACAAGCCATTTTTCTCAAAAGGAGTGATCTTTCCTACGGGGTCCATCCGTATCTGCATGCTTTGGTTAAAAGTCGCCGAAACATTTGAAGCCGGGCAATTTAATTTATGAACGAAAGTTCAATATATATCGTACTAGAGTCACAATCGTAGTCAGAGGCATCGCATGCAGAGTCTAGAGAGATAACATCCAATGCAGTGCGCTGGCAGCCCCTTCTTCACGCATTCCAATGAAAAGTGACCGCAGCGGGTAGGAAACCGGGTTCCAATCGAAATGTTATCCAATATAAGCACTTAGCATGTAAACACTACATGTATAACCGAATGCGTGTATGTCTAACAACTAATTTTTAGATCAACACATATTAATAGTAATACGTATATTTCTCTTGATGAGAGAAACTGTGTCTATAGCGGCACAGATCAATTTGTACAGGTAACATGCATAGGTGGAGTATTGGGATATGCGTTTCATGTATTAACATTCTGTCAGATGGTTCAGGCTAAAGCCTAGCTATGAAAACATTGGTGTTTATATGTTTTTGGGCCCCACTTGGAATAGTTCACCGAGGAATTTTTTTCCATGTGGTTATAGAGCTTGGGGTAGATAGATTAAGGTAATTGGCGAGTCTGCTACTAAATGTTGCCACATTGTCACATGAACTGAGTGTTATTCGTAGTTTATTCCACAGATACCTACACCTGACCAGGAAGAAATTAGAGCAAACGTTCGTTCTAGCTTTCGGTATATTCAGTGTAAAATCTTTGTTGCGATGCGCTCGAGTTGAACAATGTTGTAAATTGAGTGGAGGCAGGTTGGAATAGGAGTTTCTGCGTAACATGTTGAGAAGCATCAACAAGTTGTGCTTCAACCGTTGAATCCAAAGTGGTTCGAGAGGAAGTTCATTGCAACGTTCTCGATAACTCATAGCAGTGTTTACCAATCAGATGTTTAGTAAATGACCTCTGAAGGTGCTCCACAGCATTTCTGCCACTCTTTCTTATACTGTCGTATATTATGAGAAAGTATTCGAGGATAGTGCGAGTGAGTAGCTTGAAAAGCTCAACTCTAGCATGAGTTGCGTGGATTTGTTTCATATATTGAACATCGATTGTCTGGAAAGTGCTGCTTGGTATTAGGCCTGTTCGGAGAAGTTGAAGTTAAACGATTACCTAATTCCAAAATCTCGTGTGGACAACTGTGTAGGGACGCGTACATTGTTTAGGGTGATAGATCCTTCGGGGATGCAGCAGCCGTAAGACATGATGCTTAACTTCTTAGCCGAGAGGTTCATCACCCATGTGCAGCACCATGACTCAAAAGAATACAAATCATCTTGAATGAGCAGTAATGTCCCGTGAAGCTCGTCACGCAGAAAATTATAGACTGGTTTGATATCGTCAACAGAGAAAAATGAGGTACCATGTTTTACAGATGTGGTGATGTCATTGATGTAGAGCAAAAGGAATGAGGGACCGAGCAGGCTCTCTTGAATGACCCCACTAGTGATTGAACTTGGAGAAGAGACATAATCACCTAAAGTGACTAGCTGATGACGACCATTCAGGCATGAAGATAGCCAAGCTGGTAATGGGTCCCGGATCCAACTTTTGTAACAGTTGCTTGTGCAGTACTCGGTCGGATGTCAAGAAACAAGATTATATACGGTATTACAACGGCGCCATCAGTGGTTGTAATAGGTGAGTATGGCGAGTATCACACTGTGAATTTAGCAGCTGCCTAGGTAGACACAATGTACAGGTGAGATCAGTAAAACGTTAAGGTCGAGTTATTATTATGTATATATTTAACTGATCAAACTTACCGATTTCGACTAGGCAGTGTGCTGATTACTACGACCCATGCTCATGTTAAATAAGTTTACGCAGATTTTCGGGTACGGAAAGGTTCCCAAAATTGCCAGATCAAATTTTTTACCATTTAGACGCCAACAAATAGCTGATCAGTTCCACAATTAGGTGATGGTATAACCCGGAAAAACACATCCAAGCAAGTGATAAATCTCCAGGCATATTGCTTAATTAGATAATTAGTCTCAAACAGTAAGAGTACAATGATGTATAGGCATCAAAAGCGAACGCACTCAGGGAGGAACAGGCGACTTAGCCGGTGCTATTTGAACGATCGGGACAGAATTTCTGTTATCTACAATGTAATTATTCGTTTTGACTATTTCCTCTTTCTTCAGTGTAGTATCTTATATAAATAACCGGTTGCCGCTAAATTGTGCCAACAGTGAATCGTCGTACAGTCCCGTTCTGCGCAATATTAACTGCACTAGCTTATTTAAAACCAACTATTTATAACATTTTGAGTAGAGAGGAACATGTAGCAACTTGTGAAAAATTCGCAACATGCGATGAGTGAAATTCCGAACAACTGAACGAGAATAAGTTTTCATAACTTAAGCTTCGTTTCTGTATAGTCCTCTTCGCGTCTGCCTGAAATACTGGCTGGCCAGCCAAAAACCTTTTCCCCCAGTCACCTAAGCTTTGACCACAACCGAATTTTACAAGTCAGATGTTTGTCTGGGATGAATAAATGCTCAGTAAAATCTCCCCTGCATTTTAATCGGAATCGGTCATCGTTTGTTTCAAGCCGGTCGAATTTATCTGCGATAGTATCACCGCTGACGACAGACAGATACCGGGTTTGAGTTATCAGGAGAAAGCAATGGGGATATATGCACAAGATGGCTAATTTCTGGATCTTATGATCGTTGTTCCGTCGATATCAGAAATGCTACAGTCTGGTTATGGGACGAAGGATTTAAGTTAGAAGAAAAAGGGTGACAAGAGTGCGAGTGGCAATTTGAAGCACGTAGAATTATGGGAATTTGTCAAAGCTGCTGCCACCGGAGTGGAATGATCATTGAGTTCAGGAGTCTCTGCCTAGCAAGAACTCTTGCTTTAATACCCACGATATTTAGCACTGTCCGTAGAGTTCAAACGAGAAGGGCAACAATAGTGGGCTGCCAACTTAACATGAGGTGACCAACTAATATTTCTAGCACTGGAGCAAAATGATTTAGTTTAATTGCCGATTGTTTCAAGAATAACCGCTACGTGTATGAACTGCGAACCGCAGTCTCAAGGTTGACTACGATACAACTTGAAACAAGCTTTCTTTTATTGGGTTACTGAAAGCGTTTCAGACGCATGCAATGGTTTGCATTGCACAGCCAGTTTCGAGTCTATTTTTACTCTCCTCAAGTGGAGAAGAATGAAGTGAAGTTCAAACACGGGACTTGGACATCCTCGATTCGCCTAGACCAGAGGACAAAGCTTGTCATATCGGTTAGGGAAACGTTACTGCAGTATTCTGCATTGTCATCCTGAGCTTCTATTCATCGATGAGTTTTCACAGTTTTATTAGCCCAATGAGTTCACTTTTCGGTTCGGTAACCTCCATGAAAGGAGTGCAGGGAGACACAAATCAAGTCGTGATTTTGGGCAACATCTAACATCTATGGATTAAGATTCAAGGCTTGATCAATAACAAACGATTCGATCAATTAATAAGTAAATGTATAAGGTTTTGTGGAGGTACTTATCAGCTCAGGGTCTATGCCCACTTAGCAGAGTACGTTGCAATTACCTGGACAATATTACCAGAAATTCTTCAAAGGGTGTGACTTTCGTAGCTTCAGTATGATTCGTGTCTTCTCTCATGAATAAGCTCTAAATTTCCGTGTGAATGGATTGCAGTCTTCTAAAAATCTGAGCATTTCCCGAAATGCTGTACTAGGATAAGGTCGTTGGTTGCCAACACTGCGATAATTTTGTGAGCTGCTGCTTTGGTTGCTACAATAATTCTTCAGAAGAGGCTAGGAGCCCGCAGTTTATCTGTTTTAATAAGATGGCCTCGTTGATGAATGCGTTGAATATATATATATATATATATATATATATATAACCATAATCTCGCTTGGGAGTGCAATCAATTCCAGCGTTTCATACATGCAGTTAAAAGCCTTTAGGTGCAGTTCCCGACGGAGCCAGAGAATGCGCAATATGAACCATTTCCAATGAGAAGAAACGGCCATTCGGTGTCTTTCAGAATGTGTGACTAGCTATCCGAATAGAAAGCTACGACAATGAACGCTCAGACAAATTGCAATTGGTGCTATCCCAACGTGGTCCGTCCGGAAATCATTTGCAACGAGCTAGACGGTTGTCAGTCTCTCATATTCCCATAGATTTCATGCTTACAGGTGTATATAAAAGATAATACACTTTCTTTATTTCCGAAAGGAGCTACTCACTTCATCCGTGGTGCGTTTGAGTTCACTGCGGGCGAATCTGAGGGAATCCGTTGTTTCTTTCGTTCGACTAGTCAGTTCAATGATTTGCCGTCGAGCGACAAACAATTCGTTGGACTTCTCGCCGAAGACAGTGAGGAAGAAAGAGGAAAATTATAGCATTAATTTCGTAAGCCAAAACCATATTCGTGGTAGCTGTTTGTGAGAATCCCCAAAGAATTAGGCTATCTACGGGCAAGGTAAACAACGTTTACTCACCCAAACATCTAGCAATTCCGTGGAACTATTATCCATTAATGACGGATAAGGGAAGTAGATATCTAAACATACCATGTGTTCTTCAACGGTCAGGAACGAAGAACAAGCTATTAGTCTTTACGTAGATAGGTTCAATGGCCACGTCCTACGTAATCTTTACATTAACCGCATTTATAAGTTGGTCGCAAGAGGGGTCACTATATTATTATCTGACACCATACACCGCATTTATTCTAACCGATGAGGTACTGTGGACATAACTTCAATTATTTGCTTTCTCCGATTCTCTGAGTGCTATCTGACAGTAGGTCTCCGTACTCACTTTCTCAGCCTACTTCTAGGATAAAGCGGATGAGCATCCGTTAAACGAGCGGACGATCTAGCACTGTGCATCGTACGTTCACGTTTCAATTTAAGCTGCACGAGGTAACCTGAGCTAAGTACAAACGATAACTACAAACCAAAATGTTCTACGAGGCTAACTACAAGGATTATGAAAACGCGTGATATAATGTGGAACATCGATACTAATTATAATAATAGTAACTCTGTATAAATATATATATATATATATATGGTTGGTGGCATTCTGTTCCCGATTTAGCTGCCAGTTCGGCCTCCACAGGACAGCAACAGCACGCTTGCGTCTACAGGGAGACCATGGATGGCTAGCGCTGCACCACCGACAGCTTCATCCACACATCCCATATCCAGTGTAAAATTAAAAGAATAAGACCGGGATGTATGCGGATGGGAGCCAGGTTTTATTAACGGAGCCGGCTTACACTCATTCACATGCAAACACAAGCAAGCCTCATTCGGAAGTCAGGCACACACAAGCCGGTGCTTGGACCGTAGTTCGTTCCATACTGGATGGAACCACACTTCGAGCCTAGCACGACCACGATGACCGCGCACCCCTTCCCTTCCAGCAACAACCAACTGACTCTTGGATCCAGTATAGACGAGGTGGTGGATACTACATAGGAGCACAACAAGCATATTCACACCGGGGATGTCAAGCAATAGTCAATCCCTTGAAATGACGACATCAACTAAAAAGTCGAATAAGGCATACGTATAAGTCAACATAATCCTTCGCTAAATTAGCATATGAAATAAATGCGTCATCAACATATCCGTGATAACTTCAAAAGTCAGAGGAAGAGAGAAAACATGTGCAACAAACTAAAGAAAATAATCGAGGTTAACCAACTTTCCTTTAACCGGCAGGTGCAAGTGAATAGAAGATTTTGCACATAAAATGAGGTAAAAAAATAAGCACTAAGACAATACAGGTAACCAACCACTCGAAATAAATAAACTCAGCACGCAGGCACGTGGTTAGTAAATCGAATGGAAGTGAATGTAGCGTACCTGCCAAGGTTGCGCCGGTTCTGTTTACGTTCTCGACAGCAGACGTCGTCGTTGCAATGTTGGTCCTGAGTGGCCTCGCTCGTGGCTCACTAGGCCTGCCTGACTGTTGCGGGCACGTCAAATATTCCCGCAAAAACGCGCCAGAAACCCCAGCAGAATGGCTGTGGAAAGCGAGGGCCAATTCCTCCCCACAACGCAGCAGAGCTCAGCCACTCCGAGACGCGGCCCAAACTGCGCACCTTCTGACAATGGTCATTTACAAACTACCACCTCTTCGTGGTGACAGTTTTCCTTAACTTAATAACCCATAGCACTCTCTGTGATTGCCCTTTGTCGGTCGTAAAAGAGCCTACAGAGGACCACTTGTCTTTTCTTTCTCCTCGCCTCAGTTGGGAGTCGGTCGGATCGCGTGATTGCGTGTGAGTCGTTAGCTGGCCAGCCTTCGCGTCTAAGTCATTAGCGCGCGTCTATCGTACCCCCCTCTCGTGTGCGCCCGTTCCGAGGGGTCAGCGTCTATCCGAACACTTGCGGCTAAGATCGGTCACACGCTCGCTCAATTTTCCGTCTCACCCGGCTAAGCTAGCGTCATCAGGTCAGCGCAACTCCGTTCGATTGGCCAGCGTTACAAGCAATTATCGTAGGCGTGCTCCAATCGGGCCAGCGACAATCTTATCAGGTGTTACGCAATCCATATCGAGAGGCGGCGTTCCCTCAATTATAACCGCGGCGACGACTAAGGCAATCTACGCTACGCAATCTACAACACTGACTCAGGCACTCGTGACCGCATGTGTGCGACGTCGATGGATTACAATCCATCGGAGCCTGCTCTTTCCGCACCTGCCTCTTCTTCTCCGCATAAATGCGGGCTTTCTCCTGCAGCTCGACAACTGCATTCGTGATCAAAGTGCAACATGCACGCCGATCAACCACCTACCATTCGCAACATCTGAAATCAACACTATAACGTGATAGGCACGCTTTGATCATGTCCTGGTGACGAAGCTTTGGTTTCCCCACATGTCACTTCCCCAAACGCCGTTGACCATATAATAAATGCTCCGGTGTTCGCGTCAGATCCATACGCCACACATGACCAAACCACCTCAAGTGTCCCAGCAAAAGTATGCAGTTAACTGTATACATTCCACTTTGGTGCAACACTTCCGCGTGTGCAACTCTGTTGCACCAACCGATGCTCAGAATCGGTCGTAAAATCTTGATGAAACCGCTCGAGATATCGCACATCGTGCCGGTACATCGTCCACGTTTCCCTGCCGTATAGTAGAACGGATAGCACCATGGCATTGTACATCCTCAGCTTCGTGCAACGGTAAGCTGTTGGTTGTTCCACACTCGGTACTTCCCGAATGCCGAAGCTGCCTTGGAGACGCGGATACAAAGCTCACTGTACCACTGCTGGTCAGTCGAAACCACACTCTAAAGGTAGCAGAAGCGAGAGATGGTTTCCAACACTACATCACCAATGCTGATGCGCGACGCCGTCGCAAACTGAAAGAGACAGACAATTTTGCGTGTATGTTTGTGAGTAGTGTAAAGTTCGAAGAAAGTAGAAGCCACGATTAAAATTCACGCACAATAATATGCCTCGACGGGGAGTCGAACCCCGGTCCACGAATTTCCGGTCCGTTGCTCTACCACCTGAGCTACCGACCGGAAATTCGTGGACCGGGGTTCGACTCCCCGTCGAGGCATATTATTGTGCGTGAATTTTAATCGTGGCTTCTACTTTCTTCGAATTTTGCGTGTGTTGATGATGAGCATGATTTTGGCAGCTATGGAAGCCAAAGCACTAGTCATGTGCTGCAGCTCATCCGCGCTGTGTGCAAACAACGCAAGTCGTCAGCGAACAGCAAACTACGGATAGTTGTCTCATTGGACGGTGGATTCGCACCAAAACCACAGATGATCAGCAACCAACCATCAACACGACGCTCGACACTAAGGCCGTAAGCACAAGTTGCATTAAGCGCATACAACATCATGACATGAAGATAAACATTAAACAGGGCAGGAGCTAAGGCACAACCCAGCTTAACACCAGAGACAACTCAAAAGTCATAAGAGATTTGTCCACACAGCTGTCCCCTTACCTGAACACCACTGTGCAGAGGTTCAAACAAACTCCAACAGCCAAATTTATCTAACATTAACCACAATGCCTCGCGGATCACTGTATCAAAGACCTTGGTAAAGTAAACTAATAAAGAGCACCATGGCCGGTGTGATATATATATATATATATATATATATATATATATACATATACATATACATATATATAGCGGCATTAGATGCACAACGATGAGCAACAAAGAATGTAAAGGGCCTGCGCTATCACTCTTACCACAAAAGGCAGAAGTTGCTGGGAATTTTCAGCGGAGGCTATCGAATGCTGCGCTGCGACCTCACCTTAGCGTAACAGATATTGCGTGACCCCAATCACGTATGCCGCCACTTGCTGAAACTTAGCCACAACACGCAGCTCAGGCGTAACTGCTTAAAATTGAAGGAACAATATAGTCGTCTAGAGCGTCAACGTAATTACTTTTCCTTCCGGGTTCGTCGAACCTGGAACGCACTCACAGATCCAGTTGTGTCCCCCATACATTAGACGTTTTCAAAAAACGATTAGATGTTGCCCTCAGCTCCCAGCACTTTGTTACCTAAACTCCTTTATTGTGGATAACGCCAAGAATACTTTTCTACTGGAGTTATGTATCAAATGGACCCAAATGAGTAACCATATTTTACATTTCTCACATCTTATATCAACGACCACTGCACCCAAGTATATTTGTGAATGTTTAGTCTCTACATTTTAATTTTACTCTGAGGTTATGTATCAAATATTCATCTGGGCAGACCTTTGGTAGATGAACCACATATATTTTGTTTTCATCGCATTCACCCCAATCATCCTACGGGAGGTGTCAAGTACTTGCTTTTATCCCGTGATAAATCAATATATATATATATATATATATATATATATATATATATCAAACTGTCTGCAAGAGTAAGTATCGACAGTTCGACGTTGCTGGAGGGGACGGGGTGCACGGTCCTTATGGCCGTGCTAGCCTCGGAGAGTGGTTCCATGCACTCAGTGTGGAGCGGACTACGGTCCAGCCACCGCCTTGTGTGCGGTTGATTCCCCAAATTCAATGTGCTTGTGTTTGCCTCTGAAGTAGTGTGGGCCGGCTCCGTTGATGAAACATGGCTCCCATCCACGTGCCTCCCGGTCTTATTCCTTCGGGTTTACACCGCATATGGGGTGTGTGATTGCAGCTGTGTGTGGTGCAGCGCAAGACACCCATGGTCCCTCTGTAGGCGCAGGCGTCCTGTGGCTGGCCACAGTGACAGGCAAATCGGAAACCGGATGCTGCCAACCATGTATGTATGTGTGCCCAATGCTGAGGCTGATGTTGCATTCTTGAAGCTTCTTCACCGCACTTGGG